AAAATGTTAATTTGTGGTTGGGTTGTGTGGGTTGTGGGCTTTTAAAATGAAAAATGAGCTTAATTTATAGATTATCTAGTCAAAACTCACTAACTAAGATGAGAAGCCCAAAAAGAAATAGGTTAAAAGTCCAGCTGCCAAACAGAAGGTAAAATCGAGATTTTACCTGATTTCACATAATTTCACGATAAAATCTAGATTTTATCGTGAAATTCCTAGATTTTATGAATTTCAAATTTTAGTATAGATTTTACACGAAATGTCTTGCTGAAATCGTAAAATCGTAAGCGGAAATCGTAAAATCGTAAGATTTTAAGATTTAAATCTAGATTTTGACAACAATGCTAATTAGTTTCTTTTTTTTGAGTGACGCTACTAGTGGTCTATTATCTTGAACGCTTTAAAATTGCTAGTATGTTTGCTTTCTATTCTCAATTTTCTGGACTAATTTAGATGGGATTTTTGGGTGGTTTGTTAGAAAGCAGAGATTTGATAGGGTGGTGAAGGATTTGAAGGTGACAAGGGTGTTTTCTACCTTGGTGGAGGAAATGAAAGCCATTGGGCGTGATGAGCAAGAGTGCATGGACGTTATGGTGCCGGTGGCTCACAACCAGAGAAGTCCGGTGCTGCTGCTTATGGGCGGAGGCATGGGAGCTGGCAAGAGCACTGTCCTCAAAGATATTCTCAAAGAGTAAGAACAAAACATCAAGTCCCTCTCACATATCCAAATCATCAATAAATGGGAAATTGAAATCATTTTTTTAAGTAGTTATCACGAATTTGAAAGCTGTCATGCACATGTGTCTCTTTATGGTAATGTTTAGATTGGAATTCGGGTCATGCCATTTTTTTAGTTATCACGAATTTTAAACCTGTCATGCCCATGTGTCTCTTTATGGTAATGTTTAGGGTTGGAATTGAGGTCATGCTATTTTTTTATTAAATTTTTAATTTAATCTTTTAATTATTATATAAAATTTTAATTTAATCTTTAAATTAAAAAATTTTTTGATTTAATTTTTACTATTTATTAATTTAACTTTAAATTATTTTTTTTACAAAAAAATAAATAATGTGTTTTATTATTAATATGATATATGATCATTAAATAACAAAATTTTATCATTAAATAATGAATATATTAGTTAAATTTTAATAGAAAGATCAAATTGTG